CAGGGTTTGCCTCAGGTGAGCTCAAGAAACATCCTATTACAGTACATTCCATAATCCCCTGTACTCCTATCAGGTTTGTCCTTGTTCTTTCACTTACACTGATCCCTCATGCTCTTCAGGGTTAGGATTTTAATTGTGTTTTTACTAACTTTTAATTGGCCCATAAGAATATCACTCTAGCTGGGCTGACCATCACTTTGTAGGCTTCAGGACGGCTACATGAGTGCTGTCATATCAGCTGTTGGAAGTGACCTGATCCCCAAATGTTATGGTTTTATAAGGCATGATGTGTGCAAAAGCAGCCATACAGTTTTTTAGATATAAATATGGCATCCCCCTGCACAAGGACACATTGTTGATCTGATAAGGGAAATTAATGAGGAGCAGGAAGGAGGAAGAGTAACAGGGAATAAATGTGCAGTTCAGAATCTAGGACAGACTGGTATGTGCATTTCTCCACTTCTTTGGTCCAGTGTTACTCTTCTGTCAGTAAAACTTTGCTTACATATGACAATGCATCTCTTTTTACTGCTGAAGGTTAGCGTTTTTTTCCATCTCGCACATCTGTCTGCCTTCAAGCAGAGCTGTCTCTCCAGTTTCCAGGTGTCTTCCCATCATCACAGTCTGTCTCTGTCTCTCTTCTCACTTGTATCACTTTTTCTGCACCTACAGTTGCCTGCACAATACATCAGATTGCATATCATTGCATGTTTGCATGACCTCACAGAATGTCCATTCCTCTTTTCCCCTACACATGCATACATTTCTCTCTCACACACACACACACACACACACACATAAGTTTGTTTCAGTGTATTTTGCCTTTGAGCAGGGTGTGGGGTTGAGCAAGGGGAGGACAGAGGGAACTTTTTCATGTCCTATTTTTTTTTTTTTTGCAGTGGGGACTATTGGATGTCCTTCTTCGTTTTGCTCAGCCCAACTCATTGGGAGAGCGAGGATTAATTCACTCTGGCTGTGTGTGGTTCTTGTGCAGATCAATAGATCCAGTTGCGACCTATTTGAGAAGGAGGGCACCATGCTGTTTGTTTTGGTGACTGGAGGGCAGCCCCTGTAAAGCAGCATTAACAATACGTGCAGAACATAAGAGCAGTCTCAGGCCAAAATGCTCTGTGTGAACTGTGGGAAGTAGATGTTTGCATTTGTGTGCGCATGGACATTTGAGCATATGTGTGTGTACATGGCTCTTGACATATAAGCACTCCATTACAGTCTAGTGTCTTTCACTACAGAGGACTTGATAAAGAGCACGAGTCACAGTGGCAGGCAGTACTGTCCGAGCAACTGCCCACATAGAATCAATAAAGAGCAGAGACTTAGTAGACAGACCTGTCAGTGCTCACACCAGCTTGATGCTGGGAATGAGTGGGGCTGTGCACTGGCAAGGTGGAGCGTAGTTATGAAGAGGTCAAGGATTTGTGCTAGGTAAACACACTTCCCTCTCTCTGAGAATACAAAGCAGCTGCACCACAATAACTGTCAATGAAAAGAGCATGCTGACAAAACAACAAGGTCGGGTTGGAGAACAGCGAGACAGGGAGTGAGACAAAAAGCAAGAGAAGGTTAATGAGAAAGACAGAAAGAGATGGTGAGAAGGATAAAGAAAGGCAGTGAGCAACATATGAAAGACAGTGATTATAAAATGATAAATCAAGATTAAAAGTAGAATCATGCAATAAAAGAAGGTTGTTGTGGTATAGTCAAGCGGTTAAGACTCAGGATCCAGATATGCAGAATTACACACACTAAAAATGAACGCTTTGATTGTTATCTGAAAAAAGAGATAATAGTCCAGTTTTTTGAATGTGAATCATTAGAGAAGTGCTTAGACAGTGACTATGATTTCATTGGAGGTGATTACCATTCACTCAAACATGAAGCTGTCTCTATCTCTCTGTTCAATCTGTCTCACTTTTTCAATGCTGCTGATTAATGAATGCAAGTAATTATAGTTCAATAGAAATTGCAGTTTCATATTTCATTAGGAACCCTGTGTTTGAGTAATTCCAGATGAGAGTACACAAATTAAGCAACCGATGTTGTCTGATGAGCTAATGAATTTGTGTGTTGACAGGACACACTCAGCTCCCACTCAGTCTCCTTATTTTAATCTATAGTTGTACTAGCAGTGCAATAGTAATATGAGAAAGGTAAAATTACATTTACAGTGAGGAACAGAAGTATTTGAACACCCTGCGATTTTGCAAGTTCTCCCACTTAGAAATCATGGAGGGGTCTGAAATTTACATTGTAGGTGCATTCCCACTCTGAGAAACAGAATTTAAAAAAAATTCAGGAAATCACATTGTATGATTTTTAAAGAATTTATTTGTCTTGCACTGCTGAACATAAGTATTTGAACACCTGAGAAA